TGATTCCTAACGCCTGTTTTCATCCCAACCACCCCCTTCCGTTGGACTGACAGATCTATTGGATGCTCAGATTGTGCAAACAGATTCTCATCGTCAGAATCCTCAACCGGTTGGACCACATGCGTATGTTGCTGTAGCATGAGTGCAGCGATTTGCTGTGTCAGCAACTCCACTTGTTGACGTAGCTGTACGATTTCATTACGTCTATGTACCTCTTCTAGTGGGGCTTTACGAGCTTCTGGATGTCGCTTTAGCGGCATAGTGAATGAACGACTTCGACTCTGATATCAACTGATACAGCGGAAGATTATAGGAAAGATGAATAACCTCATAAAGATGAAACGAGAAATTTTATTCAATTCAATAAAATTGCAGTCTCAAAGGGCTTACAATGCTTTAAATAGTAAAACCCTAGTAAAATTCGAAAAATAAATAATAAAAATAAAAAACGATATTTTTCCATAAATGGAAGAATTCGAGATAACAACTTAAATTGAAATTCTTAAAATTGAGGATCGTCCTCCAACAAACGGAATATGAATCCAGATTTTATTGAATAAGATATTGCCAAAATAAAAATTATCATAAAAGGCAAAAACACTTAATCGAGGGTCTAAACGATGGAATTTGCCCAAAATTTGACGTACATCAGGGCCAAAGACGCCGAGTTATGATCATTGCCCCTTTTCCAATCGAATTAGACTAGCAATTCACCAAAAAGGGGACAAACTCGAAGTTATCGTAAAATCATTATTTTGCTTTGCGATCTCACTTCATGTAAACTCTAACTCCTTATACACTTCATCAAATATTATTGTTTTTTTGACATTCATGAGATTTCCCAATTAAATACAAGATGGCAATTAATCACCCATTGGTTAAGATAAAAAAGTATACACCAACTCCATGATTTTCATTTGTGGATCCTGCAGTCGTGCAAATCTTGATTTGGATTCACAAGCTCAATTTCAGGTTCAACCACATGAACTGTTTCTGCTTGCAAATTTGTCATCCCATTCTTCACTGGATTCACTTCCACTTGTAGAGGACTTAAACATTGTTCTATACGGGTCGAGAAGGTTGGACTTGGTGGATAGTTGGTATGTGGAGAAGTATTTAACGAAAGGCTTTGTGGAGTTTGCGGGAAATTACCATGGGATGAGACTTTCTCTAATCTTTCCCTGCAGTTACCGCCGCAGATGTTTCTCTCCGTCAGTCCAATGTTCCTGAAAGTATGAGAACTGAGATCTTTATTGTCAAAACATCGAAGTAACTTTACTATTTTGCTCCATATTGAGGAATCGGGATCAGAGCATCGCAAGACATTCCAGTGTTCATGTAGAAACAAAATGACATAGATTATAAGAGCAGAAACTGCGGCTATTCCAGCTATTAAAAAAAGTCCCCAAAAGCTCTCAAGCCCAAGGCTGTTGTTGTTGGACGAAAGTGACATGCTGGAATCTGGGCATCTAGTTTTTTCCCAAAACCATGTTCTTTCGATTTCCGTCATCTTCTCTCCCTCGGTCACATTTAATATTGCTCTTGAGACGTCAGGTACTAGAGGAGAACCTATAGGGAAAACCTGAAAGTCAAAAAGTTACAAATAAGTAAACTCAGCACAATGAAATGTGACCTCTTTTTGGTGGGGTGGAGGGAGGCTAGAGAGATAGGGGGGTTACACACAAAAGCAAAACCATCAGTCTTATATGTTGGCTCAACCATGGTGTATTTTGAGCAATATTTGGCCAGGAAAAGCTTCGTATATGGTTTCTCATCGAAAGCAGCAGCGATACCACCATTTCCACTCCCTTTTGAGAAAAGTGTATCTAATTCCTCCAGAGACCTGTATTGTACAAGTCTAGACTCGTCAAAATTCATTCGTTTTAGAAGATCATAAACAAACGAGCCCTGTAGGTATCCCACATATTCTTTTTTCTTAAGAAGCTGATTTATATCTGTAATAGTTGGCTGTTGTTGCTGAACTGTCAGCATTGATGTTAGACTGGCAGTGTAAATTTGGGCTAGTATAAGAACCACAAAGAGCCAGATGATCAGCACAAACCTAGCCAAGTTGCTTATTATCTTATCCTCTACAAAAAAAATTAATGTGAATCATCAGTATCAAAATTGTATATACAATCCAGTTCAAAGATAAAATTATGTTTTGTTCTCATTAGCAGAAGAGCATGATAATAGCCCCTGTTTGATGACCATTATTTGTTTAAAACAATGTTTTGAATAGTGAATTTTTGGAGAATTTGTGGTTAAAAAAGGGGAAATGTTTTGGTTTGCGTGCAGAATATTTTATTATATGAATACGTGGTTGAAAATGAGTATGTAGAATAAAGAGTTTTGAAATAATGGTTGACAAACAGGGGCATAATAAACTTTTCGTCTAGCCCTCCAACCAAATGTGTTAAACTACCAACATAAAAAGTATTGAAGTTTTACTTATCCAGATCAATTAAACCTTGCAGCAAAATTTGCTTGGAGGTGCTTTCAAAATTTCCTACGTTTTGCCCCTTAATTTCTGTTTTAGTCCTAGTTTTTTCTTAAATCAACTGAGATTTGCAGCATATCTTCCTGGAAGTGATTTCGAGATTTCCTTATTTAGATCTGTTTTTTTAAGAAAAGCTGTGAGGCTTGTACATTTCTATTATTTCTTCAACTGTTCTACTGTTACTGTAAGTTGGAGTATAGAGAACTTACTTTGTGCAAAGACCATGGTTGAGAAGGCAAACCAGAATATCATGCCAACTTGATGTAAAGGTGGCCCCCTAAAATCTTCATTTATTCGATGTTCAAAAAGCCAAATCAAAAATCCGATGAACACAAATGAACAAAAGCTTGTCAACCAGAGTTCCCATGACAATGGCTTCAAAAATGCCCAAGCGTTTTTCCCCTTGTTATTCTTGATTGGCACAATCATTGAAACACCAGATTCTGTGTATGGCAGAGTAAAATCCACATACTGAGATCTACTCGCTACAATTGTTACATCTCCAACTGCACCATCATAGTTCTGTTCATTAATCAGGAAAAATTAGAATTACATTATCAGTTGAGATTCTAAATGAGATATGCAGCATGTTTGTGTGAAAAAATGTGTGATACATTAGTTACAAAGTGATTTTTCTAATTACAAGCAAGAAGATTAAGAGACTTACTCCTAGGTACACTTGATAGACCAAATCATTGTAACTACCAGCACTCTTGTGGTCGGATGTTGCAAATGGAATGTATTCATATGGTATGCCATATGGCAATTTTGCCATTACTGCGTCGAAGACATCTTTGCAGTATCCTTTCACCTCTGTGGAGTTAGAGGCAGAATTCCAAGAAACTTGAAGGAATTCAGTGTAACCATCCTTCACTGGTACTCCTATTCTTAATATCTTTCCATTGGTAGGGATCACCCAACCCTTGGGAGGCGATGTTGTGTCACCAGGCCATATAATTGATCCAAACTTGTTCTTGGAAGAGGAATATGTCTTTGTATTTGAGGAATTCAGTTCTTTAACAATTCCAGTTTCTTTTGTCCAATATCCCACCGCTCTAGCCCCATGTCCAACTAGATTAACTATCTCATAAAGAGATGACTGGAGTTGCCCATCGAGCAATTGAAAATTTCCAGAAAGCCCTTTGAATGCGGTATTTGATAGTGCTTGGAGGAGCTCCGGACCATCTTTAGAGATTCCAAACCTTTCAAGGTCCGTTGCATTTCTAGGAACATTAGACATTTGAAACTCATCATTTGTAAGTCTTGCCTTCTCTATTGCCATGGCTAGTGCTGTTGCAGAATCGTAAGCCCAGAGCCCATATATGTTTAATTCAGGATTAAGAGTTAGATTGCTTCGCTGGCATTGAGTGGTGAACTCATGAAGCTCTTTCGTTTTTGGAACGTAAGGTTTTACACCTATTACACCTAGCATAGACTCTATGACAGAAGTATCCATTGAATTTATTTCATTTGTGATGCCATCAGTTATAATCCATGCATAGTTTTCACTCATCATTCCAAGCAGTTTTGCTTTGGTGAACAGACGGGAACCGAGAGAGGTCAGCATGTGGACAATGAAAACCCGAGTTTGCATCGTCATCAGCTTGTAAAGCTCTGCAACAATTTGATCATCTGTGGCCATGGAAGGAATGACACTTCTGTAAGGAACACGAGCATTGACATTTTCCAGGGCATCTGTCAGAAAAGGTATGATCCCTTCTCCAAATTCATTATGGACGTAGATGGGCACTACTTCTCTCCATCCAAATGCTTTAACAATTGCACTAATTGCATTTACTTGAGATGAATCCTTTTGAGTTACACGAATAAAGTATGGACGTCGAATTGATGAAAGAGGCCTTGTAGCTGAAAATGAGATAATGGGAACTTGAGCTTTGTCTCCAAGAGCAATCAGGAAGTTTGCTTGCATTGAACACTGGGGTCCTATTATGGCTTTTACTTCCACATTCTTCAGTAGGTCTAGAGCTGCATTTCAGTGAGTAACAAAATTAGTTTTGGTGAAATTCGTATCACCAAAATTGAAAGTGCCAAGAATCACATTTTTTGCATGAAAACTCACAAAATTAGATACGTAGGTCGTGGATAATAATTTCCTTCTATTGTAATTGGGACCATTGGAGAACAAGAAAATATATATTTTGGAGTTTGAAATGTAAGGTTATTCAACTACATAGAAAGATCTTGTAATTCATTGAGAACAAGTAAAAATTATTGACTCGAAATTTATGTTAAAAGAATGCTGTTAATTCTTTCATCCAAAGGTCTAACGTGGAAAGTTCTAATCTCTCTTTTTAACCCATTAGGTCAATCTTATATGTCAATCCTAAAAGGAAGTACGTAAAATACAAACAGTTAATAATATATATATTTTTAAGTTTCTGATGTATAAGTTCATTTTTATTTAATTACTGTAGAAGGGACAGGATGATGATGGAGTTGTCTTTTAATTCATTTATTATTAAGTCTACTAACTTTGATGTTTTTTTAGTTGTTGGGTCAGTTTATAAACTTGAAGAATTGGGTTTGGTACCTCGCTTAAGACTGGAGAACCAATCCGTTGACGTAGGACCAAAAAAAGGTACTTAAATTTTGAGTTTAGCCACAAGCAAAAGAAAGAATGAAAAGAAGTGCTTTGTACAATGTTTCAAAAGAGTTTGTAAAGGGAAAAGTTATTCAAACAGGGTCAGTGACAATGGAGAAAAAATAGGTGTATGTGTCAGCACCTATATGGGTAATTTTATTTTTTTAAAAACTTTCGAATCAATGAATAACACGTGTTCCACCTGTTTTTATATCTGTCACTGACTCTGTTTTTGTAGCAATACTCGTTTGTAAATGCTCGCCCTTAAAAGTTTAGAGTAAGGCGGAAGGGTTAAACAAGAAAAGTCCATCTTTAATTAATTATTTTACTAACTTATTTTGTAGTCTTCTAGTGTACTGATTAAAACAACAATGTAAACGAACCATATTAAGGGAGTGTTTGGCTAAACTTAAAATCTAATTAAAATTAAAAATATAATCGTTATTGGATTTCACTCGTCTAATAAAAGTCAACAATAACGACTAATTTTTCAATTTTAATTCGATTTTAATCTCTAGCGAACACGTCCTAAGCAAATTGTATTCATCAACGGAAAGTCAAAAGTTGTCGTTTCTTTAAACAAATTTTCATGTAAGAGCTATATTTTTCAAGGTTGTTAGCAACATTTTTCTTGTTTGAGAATAGTGTAAATATCCATCTTCCATTCTATCCAAATTACTTATATGATCATTCAGATCATCATCAAGAAGCTAAGAAATCTCCAAAGAAAATACTTCTGTGTGTAAACGAGGTGAAGAAAAAGTCACCTTCACGAGCCTGTTTACATATTCTCTTCCATTTGTTTAAGAGAAGCTCTTAGAAAGCTCCTGAAAGGACTATATTAAGCATTTTAACAAGAGTTTTAGAGCGTATAAGCTATGAGGTTTAAGAGGTGTCTTTAAAGGACCTTCAGAGGCTGAAAAGAAGGAATTTAACTCTCCAGCTCTAGACTCCATAACTCTATAAAGAGTAAGGGAACTCATAAGAATCTAACAATAAAAGTAAGACTATCTTCTTGTTCAGGATCGGATCAATTTCCACTAGCCCCCTGGTAGGCCGGGGGGTGGGTTCTTATCTACTAGGATTGATAAGCTAGTACTCTATTTCCTAAGGAAGAAATAGTTGGGCAGACGGCAGCTAAGGAAAGCTATTGCCCTTACTCCACTCCTTCACCGGACCGGAAGCTATTGCCCTTATGTTCCAGAGAGAGAGAGAGAGAGAGAGAGAGAGAGAGAGAGAGGGAGACAGAGGAGCACCTGCTGCTGCAGCACCAATATCATCTCCCTTGGCGTCCCTAGTGTGGAGAACCAGCCTGGTTCTATAGTGAGAATTTGAGGCATACAAGTTTGAGAGCGCCATTGAAATGCAGCTCAATCCCATTTTACCTAAAGAATTGTCCATGTTCAGTACCACTCCCACGTCCACATTTATGGGAACTGTTTGATTCTGCGCCATGGCCATGTGTGCAGTGAAAGTTTTTAAGGAGAGATCAAAGAACAAGTATAGAGAGAAAATGAGTTGCCTTGAAGATATCTTCATTTCTGCGATCATAAATTTGAGCACAGGACAGTCATATATATATAATGCAGGATTTGATAGTAAATTAACTTATAGTCGCCCAATTAAGGAGTCGTGCACCACCAGGAATACTGGACCAACTTGTTTAACTGGTCGATTGAGTCAAGTACAGCTCGTCACTTGACTTGGTCTATCTTAGTTTCTGCCTAGTTTGTCTATCATTATTCCAAAAAATTATTTGCTACAATAAGATTTTTCACCACTCATTCACCCAATAAAATATTTTACACACAAACCAATAAAGTTATTTTACTTTTCAACCACATATTCTCAAAAAAATACTATTCATTACTCTATTTTTCTACGGTCCAGACCTGTCTTTCCCGTAGAACTTCCAACCTCAATTCCTGCAGTCTCCCTCGATTCTAATGGAGGTGTGCTTCTTTTAAACAAATCCCGACCCCTGGTTTTTTCCTTTGGCCTCTAAGTGATTTATTGCTTTTAATTGTGTAATTCCGCACGTGGGTCTAAATAATTTAAAAGCTTTAAGTTGTATCAGAGTTTAATAGTGATCCTTGACCCAATATTTTCTGTCCTAGTTGAATTGTATTAGAAGTTTATCGAGTTGTAATCAAAGTCAAAATAGGAGTTATAGAATCCTAATTAAAGTCAAAAGAGTTGGATTTGTAGTATAGTCTTTGAAGGAGTTCAAAATTATCACATATGATCATTTGAATGCATTTAGAAGTCCAACGAGATAATTCACTATAAATCGAAACAAACTTATAGTACGGTCCAAACTCGTCTATCCCGTAAAACTTCTTACCTCAATTCCTACAGTGTCTCTCGATCCTATTAGAGGTGTGCTCCTTCAAAATAAATTCCGACTCCTGATTTATACCTTAACCCTCTTTTGGAGGACTAAGGTTAGCGGTGACAACCGAGCAGAGCGGCTTGTCTGCTCGACAAAAACGAGCCCGAGCACGAGCCAAGCAGGCCGCTCGCTAGAGCCAGCTTGTCTTGTCTATTAGACGAGCTGCTCGCAGAGTAAAGCCCACGAGCCAAGCTCGTGTTTTTTGCGAGCCACGAGCCGAACTGTAAAAAAATAAAATAAAAATAAATTAAAATGCAGTGACCAGAAATAAATACACATCCATTACAACATTTTTTTCTCACCAAACTTACTATCAATCTCTCATTCTCTACTCTACTCTCTATAATTTATTTACAAATGATTATCATCATTCTATAATCTA